TACCATTCAGTTTATCCATGTGTACTCTTGATTCTTTCTCTTCTTCCATCTCAAGTGTTACTTCTTGGTTCTTTCAGCTATACTTTCTTATGAATCATAGGTCAGTGCTATCAGAAAATGTACATGCTCGTTATGTGTTAGTCTCTCAGTTGTGTCCAGCTCTTTGTGACCCCATGGACTGTAGGAGCCCTGCCAGGCTCCTCTGTCCATGGAATTCTCCAGGCAAGAATATTGGAGTGGGTAGCCATTCCCTCCTCCAGGAGATCTTCCCTACCCAGGGACTGAACCCGGGTCTCCTGCATTGCAGGCAGATTCCTTACCATCTGAGCCACCAGGGAAGGCCTCATTAGCACTGTCATTTTTGGCATCTGTGACAACAATAACTGTGTTCTTCTCTTTTCAAATATCTTTCAAGCTTCAAGGCTCCATTTAGCAGTTCATTAAGAGAAATTGCATGCTTTTAATTGTAATTTTAAAAATTTCCTTATTTCTTGGTAGGTATTTGCTGTGCCACATTGTAAACATAATACTTATCATTATGCATGCAAACTACAGGTGCTATTACATTCAGAAGCAACAGATAATTAGTGACTTATTCTTTGTTTGGTGATTAAAAATGCTATTCTTTAAGTATTGTACATCCTAACTAGACAGTTTGTTGCTCATATTTGGCATTTCACTTTATTTTAAATATGTGTTATGAATTTCAGGGTTGATGCATAACATATTTTATTTTTTCCCATTTGATAACAGGTTTCCCATTCAGCCTTTGCTTGAGGACCATCAGATTTTCAGGGATGGATTATTGAAATTAAGTAGGATAAGTCTGTGTGATCAGTCCTTTAATTTCTGTGGACAAGTCTATGCTGTCTTTCTTATACTCTTAAATTTTTTAAAAATTTTGTTTGTTTATTTTTGGTTGCACTATGTCTTCATTGCTTGCGCAGGCTTTCTCTGGTTGCGGGGTGCAGAGGCTACTCTAGGTTGCCGCACGCCGGCTTCTCATTGCAGTGGCTTCTCTTGCTGTGGAGCACAGGTTCTAGGCGCATGGGCTTCAGTAGTGGTGGCAAACAGGCTCAGGAGTCGTGATACACAGGCTTAACTGTTCTGCAGCACATTCAGGAATCTTCCTGAACCAGGGATCAAACCCAGGGCCCCTTGCATTGGCATGTGGATTCTTATCCACTGCACCACCAGGGAAATCCATAAGCCTCTCATATTTTGAACTGGAGATTTAAAAAAACAAAACAAAACAAAACAAAACTGTGATTATCCTGTTCCCATCCTATCATTGTGTACTGGCTATGTTAAAGAGAGAGATAACTTGAATGTGACAGTGTATTTGTTCCTACAGAAGATCCTGGATGTTGAACAAGATGGGGTAAATGCATGGGAATTTAGGTTGTACCCCTTGAGAAGGAGTGGTTATCATTATCTGGGGGAAAGGATGTGCCCAGATATTTCAGCAGCCAGAAGCATAGAACTACAGCAGACACTGCTGGTTGCTCCCAGTATCTGTGCTTTTCATTTTGCTCAATAATGAAACCCCAAATGTTAGCTGGGCATTTGCCCAACCAATAAAAAAGGTTATATTTCCCAGTCTCTCTTGCAACTAAGTGTGGCCATATGGCAAAGTTTGTGCAATGTTTGTAAGGAGAAGTGGTTTGCATAGATCTACTGTGAAGTTTACTTAAGAAGAGGAAGTTATGTCCTCTGTTCCTCTTTGGTTGGTCTTCCTCTCTAGCATGTGGATGTTATGGCTCAAGGTGAAGTGGCCAACTTACACATTAGGATGGCAATCACAGGTAACAGTTTGCAGAGCAATCTGTCAGAAGGAGTTTGGGATCCCTGATAGATATAGAGCCACCATTTTAGACTAAGACTGTCTATGTTGGTCTGAGAGAGAGACCAACTTTTATCTTTTCTACCACTGTTACTCTGAGCTTTCAATCTGAGTACTTTTCTTTTATTATCTCATTTTGTACTATCAATATATTATCATCACACCTATCTAGTCTTGTTTGGCTTTCTTATAACTTAGTTTTCAGGTAACTAGTTGTTTTGTTTAAAATATTTGGGAAGGCATTTCTTGAGTTGTGCATAAAAGTAATGTTATTCAACAGTCTAATGGAAATCTTTGATATGTCACTTAAATGAATGATATTTTCTTCATTTATTGTTTTGAAAGGGCCCATTGGGGAAGTTCAGTTCAGTTCAGTTGTTCAGTCGTGTCCAACTCTTTGCGACCCCATGGACTGCAGCACGCCAGGCTTCCCGGTCCATCACCAACCCCAATTTCTCCACTGGGGAAGAGGAAAAAGAAAAACAAAATCTAACACTATTCCAACTGACTGAGCTGTAGAAGTGGAAGCTGCTTAACACTCAAGATGGTATTCCATTGTCATTTTATGAGTTTTTCTTCAAGTGAGACAACTACAATGTTTCCCAATTTCTCTCCAAGTGACAATTGCTTCTTAATCTCATCCCTTCCATTTACATGTCACTCATATTTAATATATGTAGATTTATTTTTAATGGCCTCTTTAGAGCTAGCATAAAGCATCTTGCTTTTAAAAGGTTCACTCTTAGAAGCCCAGAATATCAATACTAGGTATTGATAGTAGATATTTAGTCTTTTTTGTTGTGTGTATGGCATCAATAGATCAATACTAGGTATTCTTAGACTTTTTTTGTTGTTTATATGGCATAATACACAGAAAACTGGTAATTATTCAGAGGCAGCAACTTCACAACAAAATGTGTAGGGGTTCTCCGTGGTATCACTAGTGTCATTTGTCAAGATCAGTTTTGCTTCCTCTATTATAATTATTTGTCTTTCCTCATCATTTAAACAGAACTTTCTTTCATCTTCTTTTGTGTAGAATATTTCTTTATTTTCCTATCATTAAAACCTTTGGTAACTTCATCATTCCCTGTAACTTCAAAAGTCATAGTGCCTGGGGCTGAAATGCCAGCTCTGGTCCCAGCTCTATGGCACTGGGAAGAGATGGAGAAGTAGGTGGAAGCCTTTCTTGTTCACAGCCGAGTCTACCAAACTTAGAATAGTGCCTGAAAATAATGTGTGTGTGTGTGTGTGCTCAGCCATGTCTCACTCTTTGTGACCCCATGGAGTGCAGCATGCTAGCTCCTTTGTCTATGGAATTTTCTAGACAAGTATACTGGAGCAGGTTACCATTTCCTACTCCAGGGGGATCTTCTTGACCCACGGATTAAACCCGCAGTTCCTGCAGGCAGTTTATCTGCCACAGAGCCACCTGGGAAGCCTGCCTGAAAACAGTATGTGCTCGGTAAATACTTACAGAATGAATAAATGAAGACTAGATTAGAATGGGATTTGTCTAAGGGCTCTATATAAAAGTAATAGTATTAAACAGTCTAATGACAAGCTCCTGCTTTAAGACACTTTAGAATTTGAAATTCCAGGGAACCTGGAAAGTTATGTGTGAGGAAACTGACTCTTACAGAGTTTATAAGTCTCATGGGCCACATAGGTTGCTTGTCATGCCAACTTTTGGCAGCCCTCTAGCCAGGCACCAGTTCTAAGACCACGGCTGTCTCTACTAGGTGTACGATTTGAAGCACAGTCCCCCTAAAATCGAGTTCCCTTCCCAAGTTTATGAATAATCTTGCTATCTAAAACTTAATTTCCTTCCTCACCCTCCCACGACCTCAATCCTGTGCTAAGTGAGCACTAATCAACTAGTCAGATGACTGAAACTGCTGTTGCTGATACAATTGCTAATATACTAAAATAGCTATTATAGATAACATCATTAATGTACAAACTCAGCCTGTTTCTCCACAGCAAGATGAGCTCACAGACCCCCAAGCCATGGGCCACCTGACCTGAGAATCCAAGACATCCTGATTTCCAAAACTACCATAAAAAAAAGAGTCACAAGATGATTCATCCTAGTCTCTGTTTTCCCTTTTTAAGAAACCCCTAACTCACAGACCAAGTGGGAGCAGATCTGAGGCTTGTCAAGAAGTCAGTCTCTCTCACCCTCTTGCTTGGAGGTGGTTGGTGTTCGGTTGTGTCAGACTCTTTGCGACCCCAAAGACTACAGCACGCTAGGCTTCCCTGTCCTTCACAATCTCCCTGTACCCTGCAATAAACCCTTCCTTTGCTGCAAACACCTGCTGTCAGAGTCTGGCTTTCTGCGCCTGGGGCAAGTGAGTCCTTGCTGGGTTACATACTTGGCTGATGCGTACCTGTGAGGATGCTGTAGATAGGATGGATGGCTCAGTGGCCCAGGGTTTGGGGACAAAGACTTACTGGCGTCCTTTCTCTTACAAGAAGTGAAAGTGCACAACTAGCAAATTTGTTAGCCTTTTCAGGCACCGCAGAGCTTAGAAAGCCGAGTCATCGAGGGCGCTGCTGGGTCCCAACCAGCAGACAGCCTCAGCTATTTATTATTTATTACCTGGCGCTACAGGGCAGGGGAGCTGGCCCTTCTGAGGAGGATGGTTGTCTGGGCTCGCCTCTGGCAACCGTCTTCCTCCACCAGTTCCCAGCAAACTCATTCCATCCATTTCTTCCACTGCCCACAGTTCTACTTGGCTGGGCTTTGAGAGCACCGAGGCTGGAGTACACAGTGACCCAACGCGCCCAATGGGTCTCATCTGTCAGGGCGCGCGGGGCGCGGGCCTTGAGGAGGCGGGCGGGAGGCGCGTCGCCGAGCGGCGCTCCAGCTCCCCGCGTCGGCGGCGCGCGCCGCTCGGGGACGCGCTTGACCGGGGGGCGCAGGCGGGGGCGCGCACGCTCCGCCTCTCCCCGCCTCCCCGGCTGCGCGCCCCGCCCCCTCGAGCTGCCATACGCCGAGCGCCCAACATCCGAGGACTTTGGCCCCGAGTAACCCCGCTCGCGTTACCTTTCCCCTCTTTTCCGCGCCTCCCCGGGGGCCGGCCCCGGCTGGCCCGCCGCGGCAGGGCGCGCGCCGCCCTCCCAGCTTCCTACCTCGCGAGCGCCGGCTCAGCCCCTCCCGGCCCCCGCGCGCGGCTCCTCGTCATGGCGGCGCTCAGCAAGTCCATCCCTCACAACTGCTACGAGATCGGCCACACTTGGCATCCGTCCTGCTGGCTTTCCTTCTTGCACATCACCAGGGGCGCCCTGGAGGAGTCCCTGAAGATCTATGTCCCCCTGTACTTGGTGAGCCCCGTCAGCCCTACCCCAGGCCGAGGGCGGTGTGCGCGATGGGCTCCGGCGGGGCGGGCTCGGGGCGCTCGCTGTCTTGTCAGGCTCTCCTTGGGAGCGATCAGGGGTGTTTTTTGGGGGACAGGAGTGGGTGGGCTTGGGGAGGGGGGGAGATCGCAAGGGGCTGATACCCTAAATCCCGCTGGGACGGAAGAAGGGGGAAGGGAGTTAGAGGTTGAGCTGTCATCTGAACGTCTGCTGTTGGGGGAGAGGATGTCTTCTCAACTTCAGGATTAAGTTTGGGGGCCACTTCAAATTGTAAATGCACACACCTGCGTTGCTTTTCCTCTCTCCTGCCTTGTGATGGAGAGGTCTTCGTAGGTCAGCGAGGGGATGAGAAATGGCCTGCAATCATTCCTCACCTAATTCCCTCTGTTTTGGCGTTCCTCTCGCCCCACCCCCGCCCCCCAGGTTTTTGTTTTTGTTTTTTTTTTTTAAGGGCATATTTGACATCAGGTCCCCATGACCTCAGATCTTGTGTCAATTTGGGAATGACACAGGATTGTGGCTTGAAGGTTTTGCAAAGTGTTTTTGCATGTTCACAAAGTGGTCTCCAGGTTGAGATTTTGCTTGGTGTTGTAAAGGGTGATTCCAGTCTATGAGTCAGTGAAAGTGTCTAGGAGATCTGACTGTATGTCACTTGTCTGTCCTTTATTCCACAGCTTTACAGGTAGGGCAATCTAAATTTGGAGCTTTAAATAGGGACTATTTGAAAATATGTGTATGTATCACTGAGAGTTGTTTGTTCTTACATATTCTAACCAGCATCTCTCTCTCTCTCTCTCTTTTTCCCCAGTAATCTCATCCTTTGTATTAAAGGTTTCTTTAATCTTTAATTAACCAAGATCACTTTGGTTATTTAAGTTTATTGTCTTATTTTCTTGCCCAGTAGAGTCTATGTCCTAAGAAGGCAGAGGTATATTTTTTGTATGTTTCCTACAAGTTCTAGTCAGTTTCAGTGGATGATCAGTTCTTCTCATTGAGTAATAATTTAGATTTATACCCTAATATTCCTGAAGGTGTGTCATGGCCATAGCTGTAGAACTTCTTCAGAAGTCTGATTATTTATTACAGAGATAACCGAGGAGAAGAAGGTAACTTTCTCTGGGCTTGCAGAAGCCAATTTCATCTGTATCATATTCACTGGTGCTTTTAAAACTTTAACGTGTGTTAGGAGTCTGCTGGGGGAGCATGTTAAAATGGGGGTTCTGATTCAGTAGATCTTGGTGGGGCCTGAAATTCTACATTTCTGACCAACTCCCAGGTGATATTAATGCTTCTGGACCAAGAGTCACGCTTTGAATAGTAAGGATCTGGAGCAGAGGCTGATAATAAACTTATCCTTAGAGTGATAAATGTCTTCCTTGATTTTCTTTGGCAAAGATCCATGTTTATCTGCTTTTCCACTTGAATGGTCGCTAGTCGATAGCTCATTTATTAAAAAAAAAAAAGAATATCTACAAACATGATTGAGCTTTTGGTGTATTCAGAGATTTTTCATTCCCTTATAGGATTATGAAGTTATGTGGGGAGTCTATGGTATGTACTTTCTCTCTTTGAAAATTCATAGCAATTTTATTGTGCCTCATTCATTCATTCAACAATGATTTGTTGAATGCCTGATATTTTTCATATTTACAGCCTAGATAATTAATTGGTTGTATTCCATGATGAGTAGTTCAGAGGAGCAACAGAAACATAGGTTCTTCTATGCCAGCAGGTGGGGTAGGGGCAAAAGGGTCAAGAGAAATTTGTGTTTTACTATTCTCTCTCCAGCTAGGTTAAATACTTATTGAAAATAAATTCTTGATCTTATTTGATCTTGTATCTGTGTTTGGATTATAGCTGGGTAATTCAAAGTATGGGTCGCTATTCATGAGTGGTTGTGAAGTAAAATTGGTGGGAATTGACCGGTATTTTATTTTAAGTGAAATAGAAAAGAAGAGGAAAAAAAAAATGAGAGGGCACCACAGGTGGTATGGATAAGTGTTATTACAGTTTTGTTTGTTGTATTTGTATAGGTGGCTGGGGCCCTTAGACCATATAGCAGCACTTTGTTCTTTGTCTGTGTTGGGCAGTTGTTTAAATGTGTAATTCAGGTGCCACAAAGCGGTGGGGGGAAGAAATGGGCTTTTAAAGGCTATCAGCCACTTCTGATTTTGAATCTCAACTCAGTCACTCACTGTTTGACTTTATGCAAGTTACTTTTACTCCTTCTGTGAGAATTAAGTGAAGTATATACTGAAGAGTGTCACATTTTCTAGTTCATAATAGGTCTTGAATAATTAGGCATTTTTTTGTTCCCCACTCCCTTGGTGGCACTTAAGTTAGATGCAGGTAGGGAGGGCTCCTTGGAAGAAGTAACATTTGACTTGGGCCTTGAAGAGAAGGATCACAGACACTGATTCATGTAGTAGATAATTTATAGAATACTTAATGGAGCAGAAGGAGAAAAGTGTGAATTGAGGCAGAAATCCAAATGGTTTTGTAAAAGTAGTAGGTGTATTGATTGACTGAAGCAGAAGTTTTGCATATAGGCTGTATGAGTAATGACAACTCTTATTTACTGAACACTCATGGAGCTAGCTTCCCTGATATCTCATTTGGTAAAGAATCTGCCTGCAATGCAGGAGACCCCGATTCGATTGCTGGGTCAGGAAGATCCTCAGGAGAAGGGATCAGCTACCCACTCCTGTATTCTGGCCTGGAGAATTCCATGAATTATATAGTCCATGGGGCCGCAAAGAGTCGGGCATGACTGAGCAACTTTCACTTTCACGTGCTTAGACCTTTACGTATCTTATTTAATGCTTACACAGCTCTCTCTTATCCCCATTTCATAGGTAGGAAAACTGAAAATTAGGGACTAAGCAGTTTCCAAGATGAAGAGTTAGTAAGGGGAAGAGACAGGCTTTTGTTTTTTTTTTTGACTCAAAGACTGAAGGTCAGGCTGAGGATGTCATGAGGTTTGTTTTTTTTTTTTTGAACAAAGGGGTTACCAGTACAGAATGGTGTCTTCAGATGATGAATCTGGTTGAAGTGGGTAGACTGGGTTGGAAAGGTTGTTTAGGAGTTGATGCAGTGTATTCATTTAAGTGATAGAAAATCTGTTCTCATGGAATCCCACTTTGTAACTTGTTAGCAGTGTGACCTCAGGAAAATTATCTCACCTCTTTGAGCCTTAGTCTCTTTGGGTATAATTATACCCATCTCTTTCCGGCTGTTGTGAAGATTTAAATGGGATAATAGTATGTAGGAATAGCAGCTATCACATAGGAGGGCCCTAATCAAGGGTTGGTGTTATTAAAATAGTGCATTTGTTATGATCTTTGTCTCCACCTCTGATTAGAATGGTGGTTTGTATTCAGAATTAGCATGGTACTTCAGTAGGTGCTTCAGTATGTGTCTGAATGATTGCAAGTATGAATGAATGAACTCATGAATAATTCAGGAGTGAAGAAATAGTATTTGGCAGGCCTAAGGTAGTGGCAGAGAGAATGGAAGGGCAGTTTTAGAGGCATTTCACAGGAGAGGCATTTCATAGGAAGGATGAACAGGACTTAGAGATTGAGAAGGTTGGAGCAGTGTGAAGGCTTGTTTATGCTTCCAGGATTTCAAGTCTGACTGATGGTGCCATCAGCATCATTGATAGAACAGAAGTTGAAGGGAAGCTGGGTTGGGGGAAACTTTAATCAGAAATGTTTTTTAGAGCTTATAGAAATCTGCTTTTCATTTAAAATGTTACCTTGTGTGTTGTACTAAACTGACTCCTTTTGTTCCTTTCTGGTTTCCTCTTCTGTACGTCTGCTCTTATGTTTCTTTCTCATCGTGGTATCTAGCATCATGTCTTAGTATCACCTTCACTTTCTAGTGCTTAAGCCATTAGAAATGTAGTGATCTATGCCTTTTCACATTGAATCTGTGTGTTTTCGTGATTTGTAAAAAGCATCAATCTTCATTATCAATCCATTTGATTAGAGTTTTTTTTAAGAACCTACAGCATGGCAACCCACTCCAGTACTCTTGCCTGGAAGATCCCATGGACGGAGGAGCCTGGTAGGTTGCAGTCCATGAGGTCGCTAAGAGTCGGACACAACTGAGCGACTTCAATTCCACTTTTCACTTTCATGCATTGGAGAAGGAAATGGCAACCCACTCCAGTGTTCCTGTTTGGAGAATCTTGGGGATGGGGGATCCTGGTGGGCTGCTGTCTATGGGGTTGCACAGAGTTGGACACGACTGAAGTGACTTAGCAGCAGCAGCAGCACAAATGTTATAATATATGCTAACAATTTACATATATACCGAAAATATATTTCAGAAAGCTTTATTTCTTGAATCTTAGTTATTGTTACACATTCACAGTAAGTGGTACCCATTGCTACACACATGAAACAGTTGTTAAACCACTAAAATTGATGAAAGCATAGTGTCCTTGGGACTTTGTGGCAAAGTTAGAATACACAGTTACTCATTTAGGAGGATGGACTCTGTGCTGTTCCAGTTCTTAGGTGCCTTTTCTAAAAGGAAAACTTGTTAACTTACCTAGGGTGGTTCTCAGAGCTTCCTTATGTTTTTCCTAGTGTCTTTCCACAGGACTTCCAGATTAGGGTACTGGCATTTACCATTAACTGACTTCAGAGAAGAACCTTTCTCAGTTTTGGGAAAGAGTGATTTAAAAATCTGCTTCTTTATTGACCTTCAGTTGTTTACACCCTTCTTCGGAGTATGAAAATGGTTACTTAATATTTACTTCTGTTGAATCTTAACAGAATTGTTATAAAGAGTCAGTTCATTACCTTTAGACTGAATAAATACTTAAGCAAGAGTTGGACTTCTAGGAATAAAAAAAGAAAAAAACTTATGGACATTTTTTAGTTAGTTGTGAAAGACTTGAAAGGCAGTGCCAAAGAATGCTCAATCTAACCCACAATTGCACTCATCTCACACACTAG